ATCTCCTGGGTTCGGGTCTCCACGCGGGTCAATTCTTCGACCCGGTTTCTGTAGCCTCCCCTCGACTCCGACCCGTGTACCGGGCCGTTCTGGAATTGGGTATTTGGATTTTTGCGAGGAGGGGTGTGAGGAAGAGCCTGCCATGGAGAGGGTTGAGTCTGGAAGGGGATTGAGGGCGAAGATGTTTGAGAGACTAAGAGAGGAGAATTCTCTGGGTCGGGTCGAATCAGGCCCGAGCGGTGGTGCTCCTGATGTTGGGTGGGTTTCGGAGCTGGTGAAGTGAGTGGGGCCGAGTGGGCACATACGGGTTCTTAAATGGTTCTCTGATGATTTGTTGCTGAGATGAGATGTCTATGATTCTATTTTGGGTTCAATTTGGTGGCCTCTAATTACCATATTTTGCTTTCTCTCTCATGTGAATAGTGTCTCTGAAGCACAGAGAGAGAGAGAGAGAGAGAGTTGGTATATCTATCTGGGAATTTGATTTTGGAAGCAAAGTCAAGCTGAAGATTTGAAGATTGTGTAAATGTTTTCCCAACCAAGATGGTTGGTGTGGGCGAGAAGAGTAGAATCTCTTTTTTGGGGATTGTTTTGATAAGTAGATAATCCTAGATTGGTAAGAAAGGAATTGCCTTTTGTATAGTTGAAGCAGACAGTGGATCATTCCCTATTCTCTCTGTTCATTATGGTGTTTGTTATCACTATCCCACTTACTGATCTCTATCATTGTAAAAAGCTTATGCTTCTATGCCAAATTATTATGTATGTAAAAAATTTATAACTTTATCCAGTTTCCTCTGGTCTCTTTCTCTCTTTCTTATTTCCTTTTGGCTGTTGGGTTTTTCTTGTTTCACCTTAAATTTCAGAGGCTGTTGAGGTTTAATTTTCTCATTGACAAGAGGCTTCACATGGAGAAACACTTTCATGCCTATCCCTTGCCAATAACGCAATGTTTCAGGTGTTAATAGTATTATTGACCGGTAATAGCCCGTTGCAAGGAATTTTTATGCTTCACATGGTTTGACAGTGTCTGGAAAATGAAAGAGAAAGTCCATAAACTCTTCCCCAAGTCTCCTCCCCACTTCACAGGTTTGAAATTGTGGGACATAAATTGGAATTCCAGGGGAAAGAAAATATATCTCCGACAGAGAAAATAAGGAGGAAGAAATTATATCCCTGGCAAAGAAAGAAAAACTATTTCTGTATTGTGGTCTCTGGTATAATTGGTCTTCAACTTTACTTATATTCATAGTCTTTGATTTAACCCCCTCCAACACGCAATATCTTTAAGGATATGAGGCTATTATGAGCTATGGTTTCATTTTCCTTTCTGTTGACCTTTACTAGAATAATACAGGCTGATCCTGATGCCGCTGCATGCACTCTAAGCTTGTTCCCACCGTTGGATTTTAATTGCTGAAGCTGTGAAACTGTGATTGAGATGAGGGTCTTTGGAATTATCGTACGGTGAACGATCTGTCAAAATCATGATGGGTAGAGTCTTGTTTTCATTGGGTGAAGTTGTTGATTTGGACATGGATAATTACTGATAATGATTTTAATGTATCCGAGTGCGGTTTATTGGTGGACTAATTACACACTAACAATAATGCCAGCCAGTCTTAATTTCGATGCATTTGTTTCTCTGAGCATCCCATCCCATCCACTGAACTGAGCACTGAACTGAGAAGCTGCTTTTGGCCTTTAAAATCACTAAAAAGGCAAATTTGGGTGGTTGAAAAAATTCAATACACAGAGACAAAGGCCTCTGCAAATTACAGAGACAGAGAGACGAAGACATAATTTTTGAACAAGTACAATTCTTGTTTCTTTTGATAAACAAATTGAAGAAACAATTTTTGTTTGCCTACCCCAAAACAAAATTAAAAATAAAAATACAAGAGCAGAGTTATTATATTGAGTTCCAACCTCCAACCACAAACTACAAGTGTCGTTGTCTGCCTCTTGAGTCATAAGCTATATGCCGCATCACGTATAAACCTGTCATGTTTTTATCTGCATGTTTGCCACGTGCATGCTTTGTGTCACTAAACATCAATTTGCTTCTGCTTCTGCTTCTGCTCATGTACATGTCGTGCTCTTGGAAATGCAAAACTGGAGAGAGCCCTGCGGTCCTGAAATTTTCACTCTCATTCTGGGATATGCCATCCGAACTGGCAGAACATCACGAAGAATATCCATTTTCGGAAAATAAGAACCATAATTTTGTGCATCAAAAACAAAAACTTAAAAATATGAACCCATTCGAGGAATTATAGGAAACTGAGATGTTTGGTCTGCCATATATCATATATATTTGACGTTTTTGGCTTTTAGCATCGGGAAAAAACTTGTAGATTGGGGCTAAGGTTCCATTTCAATCCAATTTATTTCTTTAACATTATTGTTAGCATCAGATCAGTCCACTGAAATCTACATTATCAAAAGAAAAATCGAGGTGGGTCCATTTGTGATAAAAGACAGACTGAGTTTAGAATTATAAAAATAATAAAAATAAAAATCTTCTTTGTTTGTGTGTGTGTTTTTGTCAATGACCATGAAAGCAAGGAAGACGATGAAATTGTGTAAATTTGTAGTGTGATTTCCCAGCACATTGAGATTACCGTCAAACCAAGTAACTTAAAATGAAATTGGGTAGTTGCCAGTCGCTATCCTGCGCCGATGGGTTCAAAACCCATACTTTTGGCTGCACCAACACCAAATGATATAATATATATATATATTTTAAACAGAGATATATGTATTAGTTTATAGTTTAAACTCGGAGTTTGATGCTGACAGAATGGACCAAAAATGCAAAGCTCGTTTAATGTATGAAACTAAGAAAATGGATGGGATGTGAAAAAGGGCACAATTATATGCATGCCATGAAATGTGGTTGTCCTTCGGATTGCTGGAAATCCGGACCTATAGTAAGAAATTATGTTCTTATCTTCATGCTATTACAAGTTGCATTCACATATAATTGTGTGCATATGGATTTTCAAGTGGTTAATTTCTTCAAGTCAATTTTTTTTTTATTTTTTTATTTTTTTATAGAAAGATTAAGATGCCAACGTTTGACTTTTTCTTTTTGTTAATACAAGAGAGAGCCAAATTATAGGAAGAATACGAATGCAGGACTGCATCCTTCTCTCTCTCTCTAAACCTTTAATCAAACTATGGAATGTACCTCCATTATTCACTAAAGAACATACTGTCGTTATGGTATAGATAATAGGAGATTGTGCTAAAATAGTCATTTTTCACAACTTTTATTCTATAATAGCGCCTGCCCTATATAATGTCTCTTTGTTATCCCTACAACGTCTCTTTAATGCAAAGGGGGCTACTTTAGAATAGGAGTTGTGAAAAAAGTGCTATTTTAACATATTTCAGTAGATAATATGTCAATATCGATATCTCCGATTAGGATTCGTGGCTTGACACGAAATTTTTGGATTCGGGCCGAGGTTTCAAAAGACTTGGCTCAAGCCTGCCTATCGGGCCGTACTTTGACAGGCCTAAATGGGCCGGGCTTTTAAATATTTTTTTCTCTAAATCATTTAAATCTTTTTGTTACACAACTTTTTTGGGTAAAAAATGATGGATAAAAAGAACAATAGTATAAATTACTATATAACTAACAAAACAAAAATATAATAGCTAAACTCTTTTCCTAACCTTGAATAATAGTTAATATATTTAAAAAATATTATACCTAAAAATGAATCATCTGAAAATGTGTTACTTTTATCCCAAACTAGGATTGACATAATGAAAATTAAAGGAATTTGTGCCATTATAATTAATAAAAGCAAAATAAGCTTTCAAATTATTTATTGAACCATTAAATTTGAACTTGACAAAAAAGGGGCACTAAAAGATATAGTGTATATATTACTTGTTTGTTATAAAATTTTAGACAACATTGAAAAAATTAACTTAATTTATAACATGGGTAAACAAAATAAGAAGTTTATTAGTTTATCATACATATTACATTATTTTGATTAAGTATAAAAGAAGGTTAGAGAGTGCATCAATTAAATCTTAAAAAAAAGATCGGGTTTTGAACGGGCTAGACCGAATGGGCCTAGCGTGTCAAATGTTGATTCCTATCTCCAATAAAATGTAGCAATGTGTTACACATTTTCAATAATGTCGATGCACTTTAATAAAGACCAGACATCATTGAAGTCCTTAATGCATCACTGAAATAAAGCATGCTTTTTACTCCGGAGTAGCCCCAAACAGAGCAGTCTTTTTCCGTACGATTTGATGGGCTAGAAAACTTTGATGGTCCTAAAATAAAATTTGGAGAGAAGGAATTGGATTATTGGACCAGGAAAGGTGATAGTTCGCCATAGGGGCCCATAGCTAATGTAGTTGGATATTGTGGAAGGCTTGGAAGCCCAAGTACACGAGCCAGCTGAACCCTTTTGTGACTGTTCTTGATTTATTTTGATCACCAATAATAGCAATTCGATCTCATTCAGTTTTATGTCGTCGCCAATCAAATTTGAAGTCGTCTGCATATTATATTCAGTAAGCACAACATGATCATGACATTCAGCAAAGTTTGGCAGATGATAAGCAACCAATCTCCATATAAAATCAATGTCAAATCCATAAATATAATATTTCAATTGGCCTAACAAATCCCAGATTACAAAATTCGCATTTTCTGCATAAAAATGAATCCATGAGGCCATATCATGACAGATGGTATCTGAATAGTCCCATGTCAGGGTGATCAAAGCATGAAATAGTTTCTGTCAACACCCAGATAATAGATTTTTTTCCCTTCAATCCAAATTGCGTTTAACTTACGAGTAACGAGACAAGTATTTTTCTTATTTTATAAGGCATTGGCATTGTGTAGAGAAATTTCTGTTTTGACAGCAAATGCATGAGAACTGCGTACTTCCTCAAGCACCAACATTGACTAGTCTCTCTTTCCCATTAAGAAAATGAATAAACTTTATTGGTCAGTCAGACGAAGTCAAGCTTTGTAAAGGCTCTTCTTATCCATCTTTCAAATGCTCAACGTACCCCCGCACTGGTTTTTAGTCTCTCTCCTCTCCTCTGCTAGCTTAGCTTTTGGACCCTTTGGCTGGTCTGCTCGGGTGGTTGAATTTGAGGCCAGAGTAGTAGACTAGTGTTTTTGAGTGTTTGGCCATGGGAAGAGCTCCATGCTGTGACAAATCTAAAGTGAAAAGAGGACCATGGTCCCCTGAAGAAGACACCACCCTCAAGAATTACCTCCACAACCATGGCACTGGTGGCAATTGGATTTCTCTCCCTACCAAAGCAGGTACTAAATTAATATCATCTCTAATTTCAAATGATCACTTATTAATTATTACTTCCTAATTGTTCTTGGAAAGGTTGGTTAGTTCATGCAAAACAGTTAGTACTACTTTTCTTCATGGTGGTTAAATGAATTTAAATTTAATTATGTGTTGAATTAAGGCCTCAACCGTTGCGGTAAGAGTTGTCGATTGAGATGGCTGAATTATCTTAGGCCAGACATCAAGCGTGGAGGTTTTACTGAGGAGGAAGACAACCTTATTTGCACTCTCTATGGTACCATTGGAAGTAGGCAAGTCCAATATTATTTATAAACATATCATGTGTATCTAAACTGTTTAATTTTGTACCATTTGTGATGTTCTATTTGTGTGTGATTAATTAGGTGGTCTGTTATAGCATCCCAACTGCCAGGAAGAACAGACAATGATGTCAAAAACTATTGGAACACCAAGTTGAAGAAAAAATTCTGGGCAGCAAATAACATGAATTTGGCTTCAAGAGAGTTTTCAGCTTCAGTTCCCAAATTTGAATTTGGAACCCCTCAGGATCACGGGACTTCATCATCTTGTTTTGATGGTACATTGCCATATCTAATGGATGTGAGCTTGGAGCAGAGTTTTGATCAACAAAAGCAAATAAGTCAATTTCCAAATTCAAATTTTCTGGAAGTTAATGATTTTGGCACTTGTGGAAGTAAGAGTTTCACCAATATTTCATCATCTCAAGAAGCTTCAAGTCTTCCCACTTCATCTATTTTGGGTTTGGAGAACAATTACACCCTGTGGTCTGGCGATGAAAGTGGGGTTCTTACGGACTATGGATTTGAGCCTCCTGCTGATGCTCTTCTGGGTAACTTTGGTTATTAGGCAAATATATATTTAAATATACTTATGAATTTGCTCTATGTATTATGCATATAAAAACTCTCTCCTTACCTACATGTTAACAGCAGGCTATGAACTCACGATGCCAAGGCAAAGCCTCTCTATCAAATTCACAAACTAACACGTATGAAAATCAAAATACTAGGGTTTTGGTTCTGTTAAGAACAACCAAACTTGGATGATTATGGAATTATGCATGCAGTTTATCGACTAATAAAGCCGGTGTTTAGCGTTGTTTTGTATTAATGTTTGTGGTAACTTTGGCTGAGGGCCCTAATTTGCTATTGTAAATCTATTTTGTTTGCCTAATTGTGCAAGTGAAAATATTCAGTTATATTGTGAAGTATATATGTAGTCAGCAATACTTTGTTTGCTTCTGACTAGTCAGAGGTCACAATAGTTGCATTGTGCTGCATATTCAAAGTGAAGAAAATGTCTACATCTGACAATGACCATCTCTCTCTCTCTCTCTCTCTCTCTCTCTCTCTCTCTCTCTCTCTCTCTTGTGGGTTTCTTGTTTTGTTTGTTTTCATTTGAATGAGCTTAGAATATGGTTACAAAGAACACATAGTCAAAAGCCATAAATTTTATTCATGGTGGATAGTCAATTTGAAAGAAAATTCAAGAAGTGAGAAGTGTGAAAGGGTTTTAGTCTTTGGTAAACAGCATTTACCATTATCTTTAAGAACATGGCAAAGACTAGTACTTGAAAAAGTGATGACCAATTTGGCTGGAAGTGGAGAAATAGAGCATGCCTCAGATTAAGAATATTAATATAAAGTGTGGCCCTTGTGAACTTCATCATATCCTTTTCTATACTTGTTCTCTGAATCTGCCCTTCTTGACCTCTTTTTATTCAACTCTACCATCATATTTCTTTCTTGTATATTAAAGACTTCTTTGGTTGGTGAGGCATGTCACATATCCCCTATTCAACATGCAAAGTCTCATTGCAAGACTCTTGCTAAGCTAATAAACTTTTAGGATGAGTTGATTGATGGTGAATACAATTCAAATGGGTGCTAAGAAAACCTGGTTTTTTGTCTTTGTATATTGTAGTAAAACATCATTACAATAATCTAATCAAATTAACAAAGAATTGTGAAGGAAGCAGCATAGGGCAACCCACGGTGGCTAGCGCTCTAGGTTGGGAGGTGGAAGTTATCTAAACTAAGAGACCAACTTGGTCAAGTCAACATCTTTGCTAGTCAAGGAATTTCAAATTCACATGTGCTGTTTCTTTTTAGAAATATCTTTGTTTATAAGTAATTTCTCCAACTTGCAATTGTTTATTATGAGGTCAAATTATTGAGTATCAAGGAAAGAACAAAATGGAAAGAAGAAGAGAAATACAATCTTCAATGATATAAATTTGATTTACTCTGAGAACAATTGTCAATGAACCCAAAAATGAACTTACAAAGAAACCCAAAAATGAACTTACAAAGAAACTCATGAACAATTGTCAAGTATAGACTTCGGTGTATATCTTTCTCAACCTGCAAGGCTGAAAATATCAAGCCTCCTCCTTACAAGCTACCCAGCAAATGGTCCTGTCATGGACTCTCGACTCTGCATTTGTGGAATCTTAAGCGACTATGGGAATATAACACAATCAAGTAAGTGCATGAACATTGATAGCTAACAATAAGGAGAAGAGAATTACCTCGCTTCTAAATCTCTGAGAACAAAAGATTAAAGTTTCTAGATTGCTAGTTTCATCATGAATCAAGTTATCTGAAACCTAATAGAAAATAAGCACATTGATGTTCAGAAAACCCAAAAAGGCACAACAACAGATATATTTTACTCAATAGGGAAAAACTCAGAAGACACATAAAAACGAAAAACTTGAAAGAGAATAGCAGGCACATACCGACACATGCATCAAAACGAATCATTCATATATAGCCATGAATTGACAGATTTTACACCCGATGCACTACCTTGTATGCATTTATGATTTTTTTTTCTTTCTAGAATTTGGTTTAGTGGTGGCAGGAAAGTACAGTCAACAGTTTTTTGGGTTTATATTACAGAGAATTCCAAATTTTTATTGTTAGTGTAATGTGGAAATATATTTAAAGAATATATCATTTTAATTAGCTCTTTAAATAGAATATTTTAACCGTATAGCTGTGTGGCTATACTCTTTAAATAAAATATTTTAACGAAATAGCCGAACGGCTATACTCGTTAAATTGATTATTTTAAAGGTATATCCGCTTGGCTATACCCTATAAATAGAATATTTTAACTGTATAGCCGACCGGCTATACCCTTTAAATATATATGAATATTTAAAGAGTGCAGCCGTGCGTCATTACGATTTAAATATGTACGAGTATTCCAATTACGTGTGTTAACGCAGCTTTCCTTTCCTAGCACACACGGAAGTCAATTTCACAATCTCCTCCTAGCAATTAGCTTTTCCTGCTGTAAATCGGATTGTATTCATGTCTATATTATTTCCTACCTTAAGGAGATTTTATATATTAGTATAAATAGGGACTTTGTGTAATCTGTTGAATACAAGGAAATATATTTTTTACAACGTGCTTCTTCCATTTTTGTTTTTTGCTTTCTCTTGTTTGCAAAACACACTTGTTAATCTACGCATTCTAGACTAGTTGTGTTGATCATCAATGGCAATTTCTGCTCACAGTAGAGAGTGAAAGAACCTAGGAGAGAGAGAGAGAGAGAGAGAGAGAGGCATGGCTTCAACTTCAGAACCCGAAAACTTATGTACCAAATCATAAAACTCAAAAATGAATCACAAACTTGGCTATGTACATAAAAAGAAATTCAAAAACTAAGTATAGACTTTGTTGTATATCTTTCTCAACCTGCAAGGCTGCAAATATCAAGCCTCCTCACTAGCTACCTAGGAAATGGTCCTGTCATGGAGTCTGCATTTGTGGAATCTGTGTACATGGAAAACACTTCAGTTGAACTAGTACTAGTATATGGTGCAAATCTAACACGAAGTTCTTCTGTCGAGCCTGGGGTTCTTTCTAGATGCCTAGACAATTCCATTTCAAGACAACGTTTCAGCTCAGACAATACAAAATCCATTGTGGCTCTGTGTTGGGAGGTGGAAGTTGTGCATGCCATTGCCACCTCTAAGGCTTTCCAGACCGAATTCACATCGCAACCTTCTTGCATCCTTGGATCTAAAACACTTGTTATATCCCCTCTTTGGAGCTCAGGATTCACCCACTCTACAATGTGGACATACTCATCACTTTTTATGATTGCAGGTTGGCCTGTAATGAGCTCTAGTAGAACTACCCCAAAACTATATACATCACTTTTTTCATTCAATCTTTGACAATTGTAGTACCTGAGCACAAATCATAAATCAGTCACTCCTATGTTTTGCCATAATTGAATTTGACGTTGAAACTTGAAACTAATTTGCTTCTGCAGTTCTTTTTTACGTCATATTCTCACATGATTAAAATGCTAAGAGAATAATAAAATGTAAAAACATACTCTGGATCAAGATACCCTGCAGTGCCCATGACTGTTGTCACTACATCAGGCTCATTATCACTGGGAAAAACCTTGGAAAGACCAAAGTCTGCAATTTTAGCTTCCAAATTTTCACTTAAGAGAATGTTGGCAGTCTTTACATCTCTATGTACAATAGGTGGCTTGCATCCATGATGCAAGTACTCCAGCCCTGAGAGACAAATTTCACTATCTACATTAGTTGAACTGTAATATAAGTAAATATTGTCATACCAGAATATATATTTAAGAATCTTTTGTAGGAAATTGAAAAATCACATGCACAGAATGCTGGTGTAGGAAAGCTGTTCTAAGTTTTAAGAGATGTTCATATTTTGGGTTGAGTACCAGGAAGCACCAACCTTGCGCAGCATCTATTGCTATGCGAAGCCTCATTTCCCAAGTCATAAGTGAGCTCCTATCTGAATCTGCAACCATTAATGTGACATTTAAATATCTTGAAATGCTCAAGCTCATGTTGAAGGACAATGCTTTGATAAAGGATTACCTGAGAGACAGCCTCTAAGGTTGCCATTAGGCATGTACTCGTATATAAGTGCTAAGTTGTCTGCATCATCACAATATCCAACAAATGAGGCCAAGTTTCTATGATGGATTCTCATCAGGAGCTCAGCCTGCAGTCAACAAGGGACTCATCAAATCTATAACAAATGAGCCTAGGCCTTTGTCTTTCATTCTAGTTTCACTCATCACTCATATGCAAGACTTTTATTCCACATCCAATGAATTTCAAGGCATTCTAACTGACAAACCTCTGTTTGGAACTCCCTAGGTCCCTGAGATGATGACGGAGAAAGCATTTTGACTGCAACTTGGGTGCCATCTTTCATGTAGCCATGGTACACAATCCCAAATCCTCCCTTCCCGATCACAGTTTGAAAGTTTTTGGTAATTTCTAAAACCTCTTCATGAGTAAACTGGCATTTCTTTGATGCTATAGTTCTTCCTGTTTTGTTAAAGTTTTCTCCTTCTGTAGCTAAGTACTCAAAATAATGATTTCAGATTCCGACTGTTAAAATTAGGAACATTTCATGATTTAAAATGATAATTTCAGAAGTTATTTCTTCCATTAAGTTAAAAGGTACCTGTTTTTCTTTTTCTTCTCAATTTCCATACTACTATCACCACTATAAGGAGGACTAGTGCTGATAATAACGATGCAACTATTGGAACAACAATTTTCTTCTTCTTTTTGCATGAATCCGAGCCACAAAGATTTTGGCTATCCACACTGAAATGAAGAAGGTACACAATTATCATACTTCTCTGCATGATGCATAACATGAACCATTTCTGTTATTTTTTAAACTAAGGGAATCTTACAAAACCAGATAAACAAGAAGCAAGTTTTCTGGGTTGAGATGAGGAGGTGTACCTCAGTGCAAGTAGTCTAGCTTCTGATCTCTCCAGAAGAGCGTTTGGAACGGAACCAGACAATTGATTTCCTTTCAAGTTCCTGCATGTCAATTCTTAATAATGGAATGCTGGTATCACAATGAATCTATCATCATGTAGTAATTACACTTACAGGATCCTGAGAGACTTTAGTTCTTCCAGGAACTGAGGCACTGGTCCAGTTAAGTTATTGTTCGACAAATCTCTGGGACAAAGCATGTAAAGTTAGTATGTTCTGTATGATATTAAAGTGGATAACTTTAACAAGATGAGCCTTTATGCAAGCATAAATTAACAATAATTACAAGGACTCCAATGATGAGAGGTTGGCAATGGAAGCAGCTATGATCCCACTCAAATTGCTTGAGTTCAAGTTCCTAGTGACAATAAAAGGCAAATCTGCTCAGAAATGGAT